CATTTTGGACTACCATATCGGTGACCTATCAGATTCTATCTCCGTGACTTTCGGTGCTGTCTACCTCCCCCACCGCTTCGCCTCTCCTTCCCCATTCATCTGTGTATGTGTGTACGGGGGCTGAGCATCTTCTGGCTCAGACCCCACCACCGCACGATTGTATGTGTGTGGAGTGATGCTATGTGAGTCAGTCTATGTGAGTCAGTCTATGTGAGTCAGTCTATGTGAGTCAGTCCGTTCATCAGACTTCCGCTGCATATATGCTCATCCTACATTGGTTGATCTTTGGTTCTGCCCATACTCATTGAAGTATGCAACACTGGGTGAGCACTTTTCGTGAAGGAAAGAGCTCGCCACTGGTGGAGGCATTTGGGCACTAGGCAGTGCATGTGGCAGCGCTGCTTGAGCGTGCGCTCGCAGGCTGTGCGCTCTGCGCTAGCGCTAGCTGCCAGGCAGTGCACGCGGGCGCTGGAAGAAGGCAGGGTGCTGCTGAGGACAGCACCATAGCCATCCCTACATAGCCAGGGCTTGGCTTGGACAGTCAGTGGAGGTGGTGGTGGTCTTCATGCATAAGGGAGAAGACGTGGGAGGAAGACAAGGATAGGGAGAGAGTGAAAAAGACGAGGAAGGTGATGTGAGGGCGCATACCTGGTATTGGCGATGGTCTGCATTGGTCGACATCTTCAAGTACTTCGGTGGCTGCTGACGTCAACAGTTGCATTGTCAATTCGTAGGCAGGAAGTAGTTGTGTAGGGAGTAGCCTGGGCGCCGAGCGCCAAGTAGGGAGAGAGGGCCAGGATATGTATGTTGGTGGGGACGAGAGTAAAGCTCTCATTGACATTCAGTTTCAGTGTTTCAATTCTCCATTGGTGTAATATTGGTGCAATGCTGCTTATCTGGACACCGTGGGACTTTCTTGCTTTCAATGTGATTGTGCTATCTGGAGTCTGTCATCTCGCTATCTCTCATTTTCCTTGCAATTTGGTATCGGAGCAGGTTCGAACCACTCCGCTGGTTCCTTCGCAATAGCTGTTTGGTGCTTCGTTAGGAAATGGCGGGGCAGTGATAATGCTTGTGCGTTGGAGTATAGGCGTCCCTGAGTTGGGAGGGCACGCCTGGAAGGCTATGTGGTGACATAGGGGTGCACGATGGATAATGAGAGCTTGCTGACGTGGCAATTTAAGCCGAGGCGGAACTGCATTGCATTGTGGGTTGTGCCGAGGCATCGACTGGTCATCATAAATCCACGTCAGGTTACTGGTGAGAAATCTGTGGTTGGGGGCATTATTATGAGGTACGTTGCTTCCTTCCTTATCTACCCTCTTCATTGCTTCTTACCGTGAGGAAGTGAGTCTTGTCTTGAGAGTCCTCTCGATGTGAGGTGTTGCGAGCGCTCAACCTTGAGAGTCGACATTCTTCCTGGGCAGCAAGCTGTTGGGAGACGGGTGAAGCCTTTGAAGGGCCCTGGACGAAGCACTCGGGTCACGGTCACCATGCTTACCCGTTGGGACTAGTACACGCATGCTTTGCCGCAAGTCCTTGGTTTTGCTTGCTGCACAATAAAGGTCATGCTGGGCATGCCAGCCCTATAAGAGACGCTCACCAGACCGTCTATAAATATTTATGGCGGGTTCCTGTTGGATCCTGTCTGTGATCGTCATCCTGATTACGACGTCAAATAATTCCCGAGGACCGTGGGGGCTGTCCTTAAATTGCCTCTTGATCAACCTGATCAACTGGGAGTAAGGCTCTTTGCATGGGAGGATAAAGAAGATGCAGGGCTGGCAGGCTTAGCATAGACTTGGGGCACAGGGGTGGGCCGGATTGCACGCCTTTAGACACGCCGTCTGAACCAGAGCTACAGGATGTCGACACAAAGTGACTACTCAAGAGGGATATAGGGGGAGGGAAGATTCCAGTAACTGCTCGAATGTACAATATTGTAATATTTCCATTCAGTATGCATTTCAACAAACGGTTTTATTTTTAATTTTGATTAGTTAGCTGTGATGGACTGTTAACAGCTAACAGACTGTTGCAAATAGAGTAGTTGTNACCAGCCGCGTCACCGCCGGACCCACGCATTTCTCACCTCTTGGACGAGTATAGAGACGTCTTCGAGGCTCCCACCGGAACGGTTCTGGATCGGCCCATACGTCACGGAATCACTCTCGAGGCTGGCGCTGTCCCTCCGCGTGGATGTATCTACCGCATGAGCGAAGAGGAACTCGAGGTGCTTAGCGCACAACTCGATGATCTTCTCAACAAGGGTTGGATTCGCCCTAGTTGCTCGCCATACGGTGCACCTGTTCTCTTCGTCCGGAAGAAGAACAAAGATCTACGGTTATGCATCGACTATCGGAAACTTAACGCACAAACCGTAAAGAACGCCGGCCCCCTCCCTCGGATTGATGATCTCCTTGAGCGGTTAGGCGSCGCGACGTACTTCTCGAAGTTGGATTTGAAGTCAGGTTACCACCAGATTGAAATCCAGCCTCAAGACCGGTACAAGACCGCATTCAAGACGCGGTACGGGCATTTTGAGTGGGTCGTCATGCCATTTGGACTCACCAATGCCCCCGGAACGTTTCAAGCAGCGATGACGACTGAGTTTCGCGACTTGCTCGATCGCAGCGTCCTCATCTACCTTGACGATATCTTGGTTTATAGTAGGACGTTGRACGAGCACATCGTACACCTTCGCGTTGTTTTGAATCGTCTGTGACTAGCCTAGTACAAAGCGAATCTCGACAAGTGCGAATTCGCCAGGCAAGAGCTTGAGTACTTGGGCCATTTCGTCCCGCCGAAAGGCATTCGTCCCTTAGCGGACAAGATCCAAGCCATCCTGGATTGGCCGGAACCCCGTTGCACGACGGATGTACGCTCTTTCATGGGTTTGGCTGGATATTATCAGCGATTCGTCGAGTCATACTCGAAAGTGGCTGCTCCTTTAACGAGACTTCAGTCCCCGAAGGTGCCCTTCGAGTTCGACGACGCAGCCTGTGGCGCGTTCAGTACGTTGAAGGCAGCGATGCAAGCCGCACCTGCCCTCCGTAAATACGACCCCACCCTACCCACCCAAGTGACTACGGACGCTTCGGGATACGGTATTGGTGCGGTGTTGGAACAGTGTCACGAGGACGGTTGGCATCCGGTTGAGTATTTCTCCCAAAAGGTGCCTCTCATCAACACTCTCGACGACGCTGGTAAGAAAGAGCTACTCGCGTTCGTCACCGTTCTCAAACAGTGGCGCCACTTTCTTCTCGGCCATCGGCGTTTCAAATGGAATATGGACAATAATCCGTTGACCTTTTATAAAACGCAAGACACGGTCACTAGCACGATCGGTCGATGGATGTATTACATCGACCAGTTCGATTTTGACCCATGCCACATTCCCGGTCCCGCCAATCGAGCTGCGGACGCCTTCTCACGACGGCCCGACTTTTGCGCCATTGTGACCACAGCATTCGACCTCGATGACGATCTGCAGCCGCATTTCGTCAAAGGCTACAAGTCCGATCCGACTTACTCTACGCATTACGCCGAGCTTTCATCGGATCACCCGCCGGCTAGCCACTATCGGATTTTCGACGGGTTCCTTCTCCTTCACTCGAGAGGAAAGGACTTGTTAGTTGTGCCCCAAGATCGCATCTTACGGACTCGTCTTCTCGGCGAATTCCACGACGCACGACTTTCGGCACACCTTGGCGTGAACCGCACACTAGCACGCCTCCTCCAGCGTTTTTACTGGCCCGACGTCCTTCATGACGTCACGAGGTACATTGAGTCATGTGCAGTTTGCCACCGTAACAAGGGTCGATCTCGAGTCCCCTTCGGCGAACTGAAATCGTTGCCGATTCCTCGGGCACCGCGCCTCTCCATTGCTATGGACGTGACAGGCCCGTTCCCCCGCGATCGCCACGGCCATGACGGTATTCTCACGGTCGTTGACCGTTTGAGCAAGTATGCTCGCTTCCTTCCTTGCAAGTATCATGCTGCAGTACCTGAGCTCGCACGACTCTTGCACACCGGTTGGATTACCAACCAGGGTGTTCCGGAAGACATAGTGAGCGACCGAGATACTCGCTTCATGTCGGCCTTTTGGACTTCCCTCATGGGTGAGTCCGGTACGACAATGAAGCCGAGCTCGGCTCGGCACCCGCAGACGGATGGTCAGACGGAGCGAGCACACCAGACCGCGCAGATGATGTTGCGTACGCTCGTTCGTCCCGACCAGAAAGATTGGGTTGACCGGCTTTCCGACATCGAGTTCGTCTATAACACTTCGGTGCACCGGGCGATCTGCGTCACACCATTCGAGTTACATCATGGTAGAGAGAAAGCACGGATCTTCGCTGATCTCCTTTTGCCACAGGCCGCCGACATACACGTCCCTTGCTCTCCCGCTTCCGTTCGGAAGTACCGGGACTTGCTGATCAAAGCCCGCGCAAACATGCAAAAGGCTCAAATCCGCATGCAGCAGCAAGCTAACCGACGTCGACTTCCATGTCCTTTCCGCGAGGGAGACCTTGTTTGGGTCCTCTCCAAGGAATTTGCACTGAGGCAGGACGTTTCGCGCAAACTCCTTCCGAAATGGTTCGGACCATGGGAAGTCACTTCTGCCGTTGGAGACGACCCCGCAGGTCCTTCCTTTGTGGTCAACATTCCTCCGCACCTTACAATGCACCGGATCTTCCACGCGTCGAAGCTGGCCATCTACACGCCACCTTCCGCCGACGAGTTCCCCGACCGTCGATCACAGGATCCGCCTTCTATGGACGGACATCAGGAAGTTGACCAAGTCATCACGCACCGCAAGTATGGCAACAAGCCAATGCAGCAACGAAACACCCGCGGGCGCGTCCGCGGGGTCGAGCTCGGATCGCGGACCTAAATGGGTCCGCATCTGCGGCCTACCTGGTCCGCACCGCAGACCCGATTTTACACGAATTTTCCTGAATTAAATAATAGGTAAAATATATATATATATATATATGGGGTTGTAGGGAATTTTAAGCCCTACAACTCCATATTTTTTGTTTTTGAATCCGACTTTGTTTAGGATTTAAAAAAAAACAAAAACGAAATTGGATTTAAAGAAAATTAAAAAAAAAAAGAAAAAAATAAAAGCAGGATTTTTTTTTGGTCATTTTTTATCATGAGATATATGGTCCGTGAGTTTACCTGTATTTTTTTAGAAATGAATTTATGTTTTTTGCAGAAGTATGAGGTGTTTTGAAAAAATG